AAGGATGGATGCAAGGATGGATGCAAGGATGGATGCAAGGATGGATGCAAGGATGGATGCAAGGATGGATGCAAGGATGGATGCAAGGATGGAAGCAAGGATGAAAACATTGATGGAAGCATGGATGGAAGCATGGAAGGCAGCAAGAATGGAAGCAAGGATGTAAGCATGGATACCTTTCTCCATGCTGAACATCGAACCATAAACTGTACTCATCATGGCAGCAATATACTTTCAATTCTTGTTCTAGAAGTGAATAAATAGAGTTTTTATTGCTAGCATTTTCAAAATTTGTGTGATCATCAATAAAATCAATATCCGTAGACAGACTTTTACTAGCTGGACTCCTGCTAATATGTCTTTGGTCTTCTACTTATTCATGGAAAAGAAATAATGAAATTTGGTGACCCCGTAACTTTATGGAAGAATTCTGTTATGTAGCAAATATGTAAAAGATAAAGGATTTTGTTTAAAAGAATAATTATAATCTATACGTAGTTTTTAATTTTAAAAATATAAAATATATTTTATACCTTGTTTGATTGGTAAAGGTTTCTTCAAATAATAAACAGCTTGCATCCAGTGATCTCTCCACTGGAATAAAAAATACAAAATACTTCACTGGCTAGTTCCAACATTTTGTTTAAAAACATTTTTGCTGCATTACATGCTGAAGGCAGGACCATTGAGCATAACATTTACATTTAGGGCAAAAAATATGATTATGATGGTAGTAAGGTGTTGGTAGAGTGATTTTAATTAGCCCAAAAAACAAAGTTGTATTTAAGGTGACTAGCTACTTTTGAACATTTATTTTAAGCTCATGATGTGTGCCTGCACCAAAACTACTGAATTCCCTTCAACATTTTATTAAGGAAACATGCAAGTTTTGAACTTCAAGAGGGCAAAACCCTCAAATTTTACACAGTCCTCTATACTTTTTATAAGCTTACTCTAAAGAACTTCATATCAAAAAATTTTTTTTAAGAAGTTTTTTTTAATGTATGAAGAGATTTTTGTACGTATTTTGTTAGACTTTATGATTGAGAGCACTAAAGGACAACATATGACAAATCAAGGTATTCAGTTCTTTGTCTTTTTGTCAAAAATATTCATGTGAAATTGTAGAATGATTCAGTATAGCCAGCATTTGTGCAATTATATAGTCTGCAAAGAACTTATTATCTTATCAATTGTAATTTTTTTCTGATCACTCTCGGTAACACAACTTTTGCTTCAATAACTCATGTAGGCATCCATTAAATGCTGATTATCTTGTAAACAAGCTTGGGACAAAATGTTTTTCTTTTCGAATTTCACTTTTAAAAATTGTAGTTAAAATTTTTTTTCCCCGAGACTAATATTAGTCACCAATTACATAGTGACAGTCAAAGTAACACAAAAGAAAACAAAGGAATTAGTATCTACTAAACAATATATTATGTGAACTATTTTTACACAGGCCAAGTAAACTCAATTTAAAAGATGTTGCCTACCTACCTATCAGCTAAAGCTCAAGTACAATAATTAGCAATTATTCTGCGAAGGTGAAGTGAATATCGGGGAATAATAACTGAAACAAAGTTGAGGATATTATTCCCGATATTCACTGAGCCTGAAGTGAATAATTGTTTTAGTATAAATACACAGGTAATTCTTTCAAAAAAAGAAAAAAAGAAGATAAAAGACACATTTAAAATTAGGTAACCACAACAAAGTGGCTGGCCACCATTTTGGATTATCACTGGAGGCGATTATGGTGTGATAATCTGAGTTTCTCGTCCAATCAGCGCGCGCAATTTTCAATAATCACCTGTGTATTTATACTAAACCTAGTTATTTGCAACTTAGGCACATAATGTGTATATTTTACCTGACACTTATCCCCATCAGGATGAGCCCATCTAGGTGCTGTTTCCAAGGTGATCTTGCCATCGACATCCATATCAAGTAACCACCACACAACCACCCCATGTGCTACTCCTGTCTCAGTTGCTATGGTTTCAGCATGGTACTGAGCCTCTTTATTTTCTCCTTCTTTGAATGAAGTTATAGAATTTGGTATGGAGAAAACATTTGGGCAGTTTGAATTGAGGTTATTATCACAGAAATCGAATCTGGAACAAAAACGAAACAAAAGAATAAACATTAAATAAAAACCAGTTATACATCATCATTGTCTTCTTCATCCACCAACATTGGTACAACATGAACACACGGTCCACATCATAATAATGTTCATCAGCACAACCATCATCTTCTTCATAATCCACCAACATTTGTAACATGAATAACCCATGCCATGTTATCATTATTATCATCATACACACGCTATCATAATTATCATGATAACAATCACCTTGCAAAATGATTATCGCCAACAGAGCATCATCGTTGGTCAACATCATCATAATTCTCATCTTCCTAAACGTCTGCCTCTTACTCATCACTAACATAATGTAGTACTGTTGTCATAAATATCATCCTTGATATTATCAACATACTCAGTCCTCGTTAACCCCTTCTTTTTCATACTTGTCTTTATTCTCAATGTTCTTTTCCTTGAGAAGGCGTCATCACTTACCTCAGTACAGGGATTGGTTCAGAAAGAAACCCTATCTCATGGTCATGGATCTCATCGACATGAAGATCAAATCCACTTGTCGTACCAAGACATGTTGTCATACTGTTGGGTAACTTGATCTGTGTACCACATGGTAGCTAGAAACAATAAATACGATTATGTAATTAAAATAGATCTTTAATTTATATTAGACATTTTAGGATGCAGTACAAAAACTCATTCTAATGGCCAAAAGTATAAATTCTGTTACCTTGTCTGGTTCGAGCTGATGCATTTCCCATAATGCTGTGCAGGTAAACACCTGTGCATAAATAGTACCAGCAGCAGGAATGCAGACAAATCCAGGCTGGAATAAAAGATAATTATAGATGTGTAGATTAGATTATTAGATCATTATGATAATAGATGGATGGATGGATGGATGGAGGGAGGGTGGGAGGNAATTAAATAAGGTGGTTCAAAGAATAAATAAACAGATTGGAATGAACGAACGAATGGAGGGAGGGAGGGAGGGAGGGAGGGATGGATGAAGGCATGGATGGAGGGATGGTCTAACAAATGGATGGATGCATGGATGAATGAATAGATGGATAGATTAAACAATAGATTGATTGATCAATTTATGCAAAAATGGATGCATGGGTGGGTGGATGCAAGGATGGACTAACAAATTATGAAATAAATCAATTGTACTGTATCTATAGATACAGTAGTGGCATACATGTTAAGTGTAATCTACCTCCAGTAATCTCTGACATGCATCAATAAGTGTTGGCAAGGCTCCCTCTCCTATCAACTCAGTATCCCACAGCTCTGTCACCAGCAGGTTTGCTCTTGAGTCCATATCACAGTTTTCTAGAAAAGGACACAATCGAACCTGAGTGTCTGAATGAGAACACTAACTTTATCGAACTCTGAACAAACAACCCCATGGTATATCAGGAGACAGTTACCCAAAAGATTGAATGAAAGATTGGAATTTAACTCATTTATAGGGTTTGCGGAGGAAGAAAACTGGAGAACCTGGAGAAAATACCCTCAAACCAAGGGAGAGACCAAACAAACTTTACTCAATAAGCCTTTTCATAGTTTAAGAATTGATTCCACTGCGCATGCGATTTTATCAAGCATTTCTCACCTTCTATTGTCTTAACCTTCTTTTGTTCTTAATTAAACAAAAGAAGGTGAGAAATTCGAGATAAAATCRCATGCACAGTGGAATCGATTCTCAAACTATGAAAAGGCTTATTATTCAGGAATTGAAATTTGATAAGCCATAGCTAGAGACCTGTGAGTCATCAAAACTATCTACTAAGTGATCCATAACTTCTCCAATGAAAACCAAGGTGTCATCATGATGGAATGTGTACTGTTACAATCAAAGTAACACTGAGTGAATATCATACCTGGACCAAGAATAACATCTGTAGATCTTTTATTGACAACCTTTAATCTGTCTTTAAATCCATTCTTTTCTATAATTTCTGCTGCCACCTTTGCAATCGGTGGGAATGCCTAAATGAAGGAAAAAAGTTAAATGAACAGATAACTGCAGATCTGACTAGCAAACAGGTTCAAATCCACCTGGAGCTCGGATCTGTTTTCCCGAAAAAATTTGCTTGATGAAACACAATTCACATCTGTAACTGCAGATCTCTTCACATAATTGGTGGGCATATAATGATGACATTCATTTTCATTGATTGTTACTTAAATTCCCAACCAGAATTCTACAGTTCAGAAATCGAATGAGAATGTCTCATTTAGTAACGTTATGTTCAATATTTTGGGAGTAATTTTTTTAATGAAAATGCCATGATTTACAAAGAAATTGTGGTCGTGTGGCCCATTGCACAATTCAATAAAGCAAAGTAATAAACAATATCATTAAAAGTGGTTGGCATAGATTACATACCTCACATGCCGTAGCAGTATCAGCACCACTAGTAGCAGCCATCATGGCCAGCAGCCCTGATCCTGTCCCTATATCAAGTACATGAATCTTCTCTCCAACAGACTTCATCTTTTCTACTGCTTCTTTAGTTGCTGCATAGTATTTTTTATTCTACAGAAATAAGTTGTAGTAATCCTCAAAATTAGTACTGTATGTGGCCAAGTTTGAACGTTTTATCACATAATAGAAGAAAAAAATAAAAAATTTGATAGAGTAAGTTAGCTAGATTTAGACAGATTAATTTTCATCCAGGCTAGTCTTTCTAGATGCAAGGTGATTTTTGCAGAGGAAGGAAAACCCAAGAACCGGGAGAAAAACCCTTGAAGCATAGGAGAGAAAGAACAAACAACTCCACTCACAAATAATGAGTCTGAAAATTGAACCCGGGTCGCATTGGTGAGAGGTGCGTGCTTTCACCTTTATGCCAAAGAGACGATGCCAACCATGCTTCCCATATAAATATATAATCCAAATATTTTTTGGAAAAGTAAAATTTTACAAAGAATTTATAGCTGATACAAAATGAATGAATTTTCCAGCTATACATTATTTGTAAGGTTTTCAATGTTCAAAAAAAATATTTCCTTTCCAAGTTAATATTGAGTACACAGCTTATAATAGAAATGTCAATTACATACCCTTTCATCATCATGTAACATATCTGCATATGCCGACCTAAGAAACACATCGTAATAAAATGAAAATAAAAGTCTATACTAATAGATCTCTTTACTTAACCTTGGGCATAATGAATGTTGTTTTTTTTCATTCCAGAGCATGTCATTCGTTGTTTTTTGTTTTTCATTCCAGAGTGTGTCATTCGTTTTTTTTTTTGTTTTTGTTTTTTTCATTACAGAGTACGTCATTCCCTAGCTTGAGATTAAGATTCTTTGTTTTACAGTTGCATATGAGAAGACTCATGACTATGGATGGATACAACTCGAGTAAAGAATCTTATTCTCAAGAGAATGACTTGTGATCTATTCAATGCATAGCTAAGCTTGTTTTATCCACTTCAATTTTTCTATTTTTCCCATGCATTCCCACAAATGACAATAACGTTGCTATCTAGTATCTTGAGGAAATAATGAACACGGGAATTAATCAAATACAAAAATGTATTCTTATATTAACCCTAGAAATAGTACAAACCTTAACCCAGATGAATCGTGTTTTAGATTAGAGGAAGCTCTCATAAATTAACGTCATATAAATAAATAGCATTCGAGGAATGGTGCAATGATTTTGTAGAAGCCAGGTGAAACCTCTTATCCAATCTCTCACTTACCTGGCTATTTCGTCTCTCAGATCGTAGTTCTCGTCTTCGACAACCCACTCCATTTTTCCAGTAATCGGAGAAAATCTCTGGCAGAACATTTGCTCAAATCTTATAAACAACTCTTGAAACTCGAGGTTTCTCTCTTCACATGTAGCACTTGTGAACCAGCAAACACAGCTGGTCAGCGAGCTTGTAATATATAAGGATGTTTTTAATTGGACAATTTGAAAATGTAATTATTTACGAACCAATCATAGTTGTTGATATATAATAAAGTGTAATCGAGGAATGCCTGACTGGTCTTGAGATATTCTTCTCCAAAGTCCTATTATGCAACTATGTTATGTTAACTTTTTATGTATAAATATTCCTAAAATTCCACTATTTGTTTGGAAATATGGATCAATTAGAGGTGTGTAGAGGTAACTTGATGTCTTACGAGAAATCTGGATTCGATCGGGAATTTATAAAATATACTGAGTACCAGCTGTCCGTCACTCCAAAAGCTGCTGTCCTTATCCCATTATTTATCAAAAATGGCCAAATTCACGTCTTGTTAACTCGACGATCCCATAGCGTAGGATCTCATAAAGGAGAGGTTTCTTTTGCTGGAGGAAGAGAAGACAAACAAGACTCGAGTATTGTAGAAACAGCTTTACGAGAAGCACAAGAAGAAGTTGGGTTAGATCCAAAATATGTTGAAGTAATCTCGACATGGAAGCCCAGTTGGGTCGGAGTTGGATTCAGTAATTCAAAGCTCTCGTTAGTTTATCCTGTCATTGCTATACTTAAGCCTGGATTTATAGTACATGCAGACAGTTCTGAGGTTTCAGAGGTGTTTGACGTTCCTCTGGAATTTTTTCTTTCCTCAGAAACCCATGAACATGGCAAACTTTCGTTTCAAGGTAAACAAGTGTGTTACCACATTTTCCGATATCACAATTCACTGGACATCGTTGATAAGAACGTTGATAAATCGGAGCAGAAAGAAGGGTATATAATTTGGGGATTTACTGGAACTATATGCATGAGAACTGCTGTCGTTGCCTATGGAAGATTGCCATCTTTTACTCTTGTCAATGAACATGAGAAAAAAGGACTTGGTGGCTACATCAACTACATCAATAATGACAGCTCTGTTTGTAAAAACGAGTCGAAGTTGTAGAATGATATTATATATGCAATTCATTAGTTTACTGAGTTAATTTTACTGAATGGGCATCCTTAACAGTAAAGACCTACTCTCTGAAGCAGGGGTCAGCACAATTCAATAGCCATATGACCAATGCCATAACCTGATCATCAGCACATGTACCCCACCCCCTCCCCCTATACAATGCTTTTTGCTTTTTGACATGGATATAGATAGCATGGATCGTGATGTACCTTTGACCATATAATAAATGGATTTCAGCTCATGCCATCATAAGTGTGGAAGAAATAGCCCTTTTAGCTTGAGCACAATATTTTCCCAATTTAGACCAAGTATCATTCCCTAGAGTATTATTTCTTTGTTTAACAATTGCATACAAAGATGCATGGATATGGTTACAACTCAAACAGACTCTTATTTTGAAGAGAATGACACATGGTCTGAGATGGGGATGGCTATCGTAGATTGATAAGTTTTACACCGTAGTGAAAATAGGAAGTGACGTTTCGGACGTTAGTCCTTCGTCGGAGTCAATCAAGTCAATCAAGTCAGTCATTGACTCCGACGAAGGACTAACGTCCGAAACGTCACTTCCTATTTTCACTACTGCGTAAAACTTATCAATCTACGATAACTGTTTCATTAGAAACACTGACACAGTCCACGCTAGTGTTTACTAGCCATCATCTGAGATGGAGATGATTACACCCAAGGTAAAGAGGCTAGGTCTATCGCTCATGATCAGTATTATTAGTGTATCTGACTTCTGAGGATCCTTTGACTCTGGAACTCTCAAATTTAGAATATCTTTGCATTCCATAAATCATTTATATAGATATTGAATCTTTATTTGTATTAATTCTATTAAATTTACAAGATATGATAAGAAAAGTGGAGACAAGTTATATACTACCTGCAGATAGAAGTTAAAAATAACTTAAAACCACCTATATGATATTCTGTCTGTAGGAATATGATATATACACTATTCGAAAGACTCCAAAACTTCAAAAGCCACCTTGTCATGTTTCAAATCCATACTGCCGTAATATGATCCTTGAGAGATCATGCAGTTGTGGATAAATCATCCTCCTGCAAAAGTTAAGGCTAGACTTCTAATACAGTACTGTTGACCAAAACTCTACTGACAGAACATTTGATGTCTTTAACTTATTCTTACATTTACCCTAGCTATTAGTTACATGAATGACCAGAAACTTTTAACAACTGCAAATATTAGAACTGTTTTGATAAACCAATATTAGGCATTTTCCAAAGCTTCTCTTGTTGTGACAAGTTATCACATGTTTTAGTGGAACTTCTTTAAGAATGACATAAACATAGTACAAAATAATGCATAGTATTGCAAAGGTAAATTCTAACCAAAACAGTTCCTTTTAATTGTGACTTTTCCTCTTAAAATTTACTCAAACTGCCACAAGCATTTTTGAAGTAAACTCGGATTTTTGTCACAAAAAAATTATGAAAATGTAGCCAACTTTAAATATTTTTAGAAAAATAAAATATCACAAATTGTTTAGAGCTGCCCCGAGCAGTTTCTCAAAACAAATGTTTTCAGTATCTTAATTCTTTTTAAAATAAAATAATTACTTTTTTAAATTAAAATTGATAAAAGTCTATTTCCTGTGTTCTGCAACCTTAAATACTGGTGGGCTTTTATTTGGTCACATAGGTTTTGCCAAACTTACTGGTTATTATATACACTCAATTGAAGAATCGTTGTCAGGTTCAGAAACATAGAACATAAAAGCTGAGACTGAAATGGCACATGGGAAATGACATAATTATATTATAATAATATTCATTTGCGCTTTCCACGTAGTGGGTTTAGAATGCCAAACGCATATTAAAAACAGTGGATGATTCCACAGGTCACTGGTCACAGCATGCATCTAATTAACGTACTTCCCATGTGCCATTTCGGTCTTAGCTTTTATGTTCTATGTCTCTGAACCCGACAACGATTCTTCAATTGAGTGTATGCAATGTAACATGGATATAAGTGTACTGTACATTTGTTGTTGGCCTGTGGGTTACAGAAACAGGAACGTGGCAGCAGCATAAAAATGGAACATTTGTCACAAAGAGAAACCCTTCAAGCAGGGACCATTATAAATTAAGTGGCGTTTGATTAGGCGGGGTGCAGGGCATGAGCATCATTTCAGTTCTATAATACTGGAGGGCCCTCTGTACACCTCACCCCCTTGCACCATGGTCTCTGTGTGAAGGAATATAACTTACATACAGTAAGTCATCACTAATTACTAATATTTTAAGAAATAGCAATGTGATACTTCTATCAAGCTTGGCAATACAAAAAAAAATATTTTTATACTGCTACCAAATCTAAGTGACATCTTTTACAATGAGAAAAAAGTTTGAGTATGTCACATAAAAGAATATAAGAGCTACTGGATCGGACATAATAAGGTTTTAGAATTCTTGGATGCAAGACTTGGTTAGTTCCTTGGCATACAAGTAGCATTACATTAATGGCTTCTATGACTTACGCTACAACTACACGTAACTAGAGAATTTTAAAAACATCTTATGAATAAAATATATGTTAAATAGTTAAAACTTCTCTATATATTAGTCATGTATCAATCAAGATTCTACAGTTTATGGTACAAAGTCACTCACTACTGTGTGAACATCATTACTCAGCCTGCATTGCTTGGTGGCCAGTGAGCAGTTGTTTTGGGTCCAGGGTGAGTGAGCTTACCTCCTTGCAACAACCTGCCAACTAATGCTTATTGCACAACCATGGCCACTTTCAATGTATTTGCATACTTTGTGCATGCTCTTGGCTTTTGAAGCCAAATATGCAATGTTGTAGCTTATTTTGTGAATTCAGACAGTTCTACATTAAAATGTAATGTGCACATTTTTAAAAAAAAATTTTGGTGAAAAGTATATATCAATACATCAAAAGTTTTCACTAGGGATTTGACTAATAAGTATGACTGCATATATAAAACAAAGCATGACTTTCTTTTCCTCTTTATTAAACTGACACTTCCTAGTATCTGGCTGGAGAGAAGGCTGCACAACCAATGATAAACTTAGCTATTGAGCTTGGCAACCTATTTATTTGGCTGTACCAATAATAAACACTGTTAAGAAAATACAAGCTGCATGCATTCAGCTCTATATCTGCATCTGCTATGTTGTCCTGCCTGTTCTTGTATGGTGGAATCTTTTATTCTTAGCTTGTGGGCGATGCTTACTTATTGTCAAATTGATCTCCAGTATGGGATGGAGTTTAGTGTGCAGGGGAGCCAGTTTTGTGGTCCATTTGATCCGTCAGGTCACGTACTTTATGAGCCCAGTATTCACTGCTCTGTTGAAGTTGGATAGATAGCTGTGGAAACATTTAGGATGATGCAAATGGTAAAATAATTTATAAGTCTTGAAAAAAGTTTGAACTTGGAAACTATATTGATGTCCAGCGAGAAAATTCCCATAAGGGTAGCTTGTATGTAGGCCTTTCCTCATTCACTTATCCCTTTTTTCCTCAAGAGAGAAGTAGATGAAAAATGTCTGCATACAAGCTACAAATGGGACAAATTAACTGTTATGCTTGTGGCTGTCTCGATTTTGGCACAGCGGTGATATGCATTAGGATCAATGATGAATAAGGATGATGAACGATAATCATGATGATCATTGCACAGCCAATACAAAACTGTTACCGCCGATTGCATTGCTACGCAGCCACCCCCGACAAAAAACGCGACGTGCACTTTGCAATAGACTGCTGTCAATCAAACACATTAACGTCATTTACATGCATTTGGATCAGCCCGTTGAGTGTGACTCATAATACTCATAAACAATCGACAAGTTTTGGCGCCTTTTGAATCACACACGCGTGTAAATGACGTCAACGTGTTTGATTGATGGCAGTCTGTTGCAAAGTGCACATCGCGATTTTTGTCTGGGGTGGCCGGGTAGCAATGCAAATGCCGGTAATACTTTTTACCAAGTTTAAGACATCTGTATACTGACCTCACCCACTCTCTGTATCCAGTACGACTTGTCCAGCACTTGTGGGTCCTTGACACCAGCCTTTTCAATCTCTTTCCTCATGACAGATCGAATCTGCAAGGAAATCAACTTACCAATCAATGACGTTTTTCATCATTCAAATTATATCAAATGCACCAAAACTTTGTAAGGGCTGGACGTTGCACAAACCACTTTTACACAGTACATATGTATAATGGCATAACACATGATGCAGCATTGTGTGCACTATTCCAGGCAATGTTGTTGGAGTAGGATCGTTTTCCACTTTAGCATTATTGTGTGCAATAAACTGTGTCATTGACTTGGCTCACAGCATTGGTTGGCTGCAACATTGCGTGCAATGCTGCACCATGTGTCCATAACTTCATTTTAACGGCAAAAATAGGCCTTGTTACTAACCTTGTCCTTTTGAACTGATTTTGATCTAAAATGCCAAAGAGAAAGTAAACGAGACATACAATTAATTAATTGGAACAAAAGTATCTGATTTACAGGAGTAAGCATAGGGATTTTTTTCTGTGTTCAAAACGTGTGTGAGAGTCACCTAGCTAGGTCAATAAAAGTGCTGCATTTTTGTGCTATGAAGTAAAGATAAGATAACTAACTAGACTTCAACCAAATCATACTTGGTATCTCACACACAGAGAGGCTCACTAACTCATAGGTGGTGAGCTAAAGCACAAGGCAGGCCTTGAAGCTAAGGGGGACTTTACAGAAAGTCTAAACGATGAATTATATTCTTATTGCAGTTTGATCTTTATATACTTTTACTCACTTAGGTGATGAATAGTCTTGCATATCATTGCCGTACAAATCGGTCTAAACGAAGGAAAGATAAAGGAATGAGTTTGAGCCCCAGTAATATGGGAGACAAAATTGTACGCATTGTTTGCTAAATTGTTGGGGAATACATGACAGAGTAAGGTTGCTTGTATTCACAGGTATGATACGCAATTTTGTTCCAGTATTTCTGCACGTATAGTGATAGACACAGCGAGAGACAACTACATGTAAAGAGAGAATCAACAAATCATCCGTGTCTTTGGATGCAATTTATTTTCTTAATTTTTGCAAGAATTCGCTCCTGCATGACTTTTAACCAAAAACCAACGCATTCCCGCGATTTTCTGAATTGCGCGAACTCGAAGGTTTCGAATCTTCGAGTCTGCTGTCAATGAAAAACGTCTTTTTTTCAAAGGCAGAAATATTCAAACTGCTTCTGTTTCTTGTCAATGTATTTTCAAAATATTGTCGCTTTGATCAGAATCGGCTGATCGCACAGTTTCATACAATACGTTGGGGGGTAGGGTGGGTGTTCTGGTTTAGAGGTGGACTTAAATACTTACAATAACATCGGTGTCTCTGTGTGGGACGTCTGAATAGCGATATGAATCCATCTGTGACTTGAGTGCAGAGATGGATTGGTCACGTGAATCTACCTGCATCTGAAGGCTCTGCCAAGGAGAAAAATATGTCAAAATGAAGTAAATATTTACGGAAGCTTTTGCCGTTCTTTTAATTATGCGGCCTTTGTTGTGGCTGTTGATGTTGCTACTGTTGTTGTTGCTGCTATACACTGTTGCTGTCGTTGGTATTGTTGCTGCATTCTACTGTTGATGCTATTGTCGTTGCCTGAAGCTGCTGCTTCTATCGTTGTTGTAGAGATTTTAAAATATTTGTGAATAGAACGTGCTGTCACTAGTGGGATCAGGCGAAAAAACAATTGAAATTCTTTCCTTGCTATAGCCAGAGAGTCAAAAATTGTTAACGGAATGAAAAACGGAAAGCCTACTTAATACAACTAAAACTATCAAGTGATATCATCACTGAACTCTAATGGAATTCAAACTAAAACTGTTAAACAAGAGTACGCATGTCATTAAAAACGAAGGAAAGCCAATTCAGTGTCACGTACGAGAGGGGCTACGCCAATGCAAGACAACGTGCTAAACACACATGGAAGCCTTTCGAGTGTCTGCCAGTATAGCAGGTCTCTAAATTTAAGGCTTGTTTAAAAAAGATAGAACATTTATTTCAGAGTTAGAACAAAGCAATTTCAAGTAACATTTTTTTGTTTGGAAAGAGTGGAAAACCACTTTAGTGCTATGCTCGAAAGTCGATTCACGTATTCACCCATTTAAAAACGAACAAATTGACGAAAGAACTAACGAACAAACGAATGAACGACACACAAGAAGTAAAAAAATGTCAAAGAAATGTCCAGTTTCTCTACCTTTCTCATGGCCGATTCTCTATCCAACAGATGTCTTTGTCGAAGGTTCTCCTTGTTCAGAGAGTTGAGCTGTTGATTCAGCTGTTGAATGGTTTCTACATTAGTCTTGAGTCGGTTGTGTAAGTCTTCTATCGTTTGTGCTTTATTCATGGCTTCTGCGTCTTGCTCATTCCTAAAAACAAAATACAATAAAAACGCATTCAAAAAAGATCTTGAATCCTCCTCTGAGCTGGTCGAAGTAGGGGCACGGCTAACTCACAGTTTGAATTGAAATTTAGCTCGATAGGTCTTGCGGAGGGAGGAAAACTGGAGACAACAAAATCTATTCACATGAGAAACTGAGAATTGAATGGAATGGAATTGAACGCCCACATATTACATAAATACTTACTCATGATTTGCCAGACGATTACGAAGTTGATGAAGTAAAACTTGCTGTTGTGCTGAATGAGACTGCAGACTCTGTAAACAAAAGAATTTCGTCGTCAAACAACTTAATTACTCCTTAATAAATTTTCAACTGCACGGAGCTAACCCCTTTTGTATATCATAAAGAAATAAACAGTAATTTTCTCGAATGGAGACACATTTTTAGCCAGAGAAAAAAAGAAAGACTTACATGAGAAAACGAAGGACATAGTCCTTGACAATTCAAACAAGCGATGCTAAGTTGATGTTCAAAGCGAACATAACAAGGGCATTCGTGAAGAGGATTTGTACAACCTCCTCGTAGTTTTCCAAACAAGTCTAGGTTAGTAAGAGAACCAAGAAGAGGTTCTTCCACACAGAGAAGAACAGAACGGTCGCCACTTTCTTCTGAATTCATTGAACGATTCGACATTTCGGAAGCGTAAAAACTTGTCTAAAGATTCGTTAAGTAGTAGTTAGCTAAATGCTAAAAAAATTCTCGCTTAAAAACGTTGAAAACGATCTGTGGAAAAAGATCCTGAGAAAGAGAAGGTATTCTTAATTGCTGTAAAGATTTTCTTGGAAAGCAATTAAGTTGGATTGCATTTTTTTTAGTGGTCGTGAAACAAAAGATTTTTCCAAAAGAGACGGAAGACGCGGATGCGTTTTGCTTAGAGACAAAACAGCTGCCCTAAAATATACTCATTCCATTGTGTGTGGTTAAAAACGACGCTAACGAAAAAATCTCAAACTTGCATTCTAAATTCTAAAATATTTATTTATTTTAACTAAAACCGGTGATACGTTTTGCGCTTTATGTAAAATATCCGAGACATTTGGATTCACCTCTTACTAATATACGAATAAGCTATTTTGTTCAAATGTTCAAAGGTACTGAGTTTAATTTGATGTTGTATCTTTGTTAATTGGGCACTACATTAAAAAATTATGTTCCCTAATTAAAAACAGCCGATGTTTCGATTTAAAAACATTTTACTAGAAGTAGGACGAAATTCCCTTGAATCACTATATTTCACATATTTTTCGTATTTTTCATATGTTGGCTTCTGCGCAAAAAACAACAACAACAACAAAAAACAAAAAACAAATAATAATAAAAAAAAAACAAATAAAAAAAACCCACTATATTTTCAAATTCTTCAATCACATTTATTTTAATTCAGTTTGTCAAAAAAAGTAATTTTCTTATCTTGAAAATGTTCAAATTTATTAACACTTTTTCTTTTCTTGCTTTTCCTTACACTTTTTCTTATTCAGTTTTCTTTACTTCTCTTTCTTCTCTTTTCCTTTTCCTCCATTTTTCTTCAATTATATTGAACTCATTAAATCCCATTCCATTTCATTCCTTTCGTTCATTCTTAATTTATAATAATAGCAAAACACGGTTATTATATTTTATATGATGATTACAAAAACTATACTACTAAATTAAATGGTAAAAAGTCCCCTCCCCCTCCGGATTTAACTGACTATTGGTAATTTAATCATTAATTTGCTTAGCAAGTCCCAGACAGTTATGATGTCATAGGATTTATAGCTATACCTGTTTAGTATGCTTTACGCATAATCAGATGTAAAAACAATAACATTATAATCCATTATGATTCGGTTCCGTGTAAACAGAACGTATTTTTTATGCAATTAAAAAGACGGTTCCGTATAAACGGTATGTACAAGTCAAATTTTTGAATCGACCAGTTGAAAACTCGTCCGGTACCGTGTAATAAGCGTCTATCTATAACTTGAACAGTTTCTTCTCGATCAGTCGTACAAATGTGGTAAGGTATAGACAGATTTGATGACCCGCGTGTTGCGGCCATGATGCAAAAACGTCTTCCACTTTTTCCATAGTTAATAGAGTTCCCCTTCTATTAACTAAGGTATAATTTTGCAAAGTTTTTTTGCACAGTTTCTAACTAAGTTGTAAAATTTGGTACTGAAGAAATGGGCCGATCGTGGCGCTAACTCGAAACAGAATTAAATTCCGTGTTGAAAGAACCCCGTGGTTTCTTGAAGCGAGTTCGTATAATCATCTGTTGGATTTCAAGCTTCAACCATTCCTTTAATTCTTCGTCTTCAATCTTTTGTATCGACCTTCCCATTTGCTCGGCCCATAACATATCATCTGATGCCTGAGCATCGTGTTGTGTTTGCTGCTTAGTTGAGTGAACTGTTTCATCTGTCGTATCTCCATCGATGCTAAGCCGAGCTTTCTTAGTGGTGGGATTCACTGAAATTTCCAATTCCTGAATCTCGGGAGAATCTGTTCTTTCTGGAACAGCTGTATTAACTACAAGAGGATCTTTTATTGGATCTGATCTTACACTACCTGGACAAACATTATTGAGTTTCATCCTCATGTGATCGCTAAGAAAAGACAGACTTTCATACCATTGCCAACGCGGCTTGTACACATCTTCCGTGCCCTTGTTAATACTAGCCTTGATCATTCCCTGTTGCTTGGAGTAATAAGTCCGTAGAGAGTACATTTTCCCCAAAACATCGATAACAGTAATCCCAAGTTTTGTGGCAATGTTTGAGATGGCTTTTTCCCGTTCAACTTTGTTGAAGTAGAGTGAGTCTTTGGTGTCGTACAAGATTGGCGTCTTGGACCACACTTTGATTAACGTCCTTATCTTCTCTTCTGTCCATATGTATTTTGGTTTTTCTTCCCTGCTGGCCTTTCTTTGCCCTAGAGCATATTTACAGGCAGTTTCATCAAAGCCTTCTTCTTCTTCTTCGCTATATAACACGACTATTTCATCAGACGCCATTTCAGTACAGTGTCGTTTATGGCTTGGGCCGATATTGGCGTTCAACTTTCAAGCGACAAACGTGTGTTGAATGCAAATTTACAACCAGAGCATATCAAGTCATACCCAATGATCGCATTCAAGACAAAAGACTTATTCAAATGGAAATACAATACGTCTTAGCACTACCTCTTCAAGATGTTTCCCTTGAACTGCCTTGCAATCAAACTATCCATCAAATATCGCTAACAAAATGCTTTGTAAGATCCTTTCCGTTTCAAGAACTGTAGTTTTCCTTCAGCACGGCAAGAAAAGAGAACGTTTTTCTATATTTAATTAAAATTCATTTTCGGTTTGTGTTGCTAAGGCAACCGCAAAAAAACGAAAGATAATATTGCCAAGCTTCCTTGACGTACGTTTAAGTAGAGGTCACTTTAGCGGTAACCCTTTTTTATTTTAGTATATATTCATTAACTATTGAAACGTTTTTGACGTTTAAAAATTTTGTTCAATTCTATGCACAAAATATCCTCAAAAAAAGTCAAACTTGGTTGATTTTAAAGTCCTTTTTGTCACATCAAAAATTCAGTTACTAATGTTGTTTTGTTACGCGGAAACAAATGAAAATAAAATTAGAATTTAACCATCTTTTTTTATCGCAAAGAACATTTGAAGAACATGTTTTTATATACTCATCGCAGTCAGAAAAGAACGAGGATAAGCTGGTTATAGGTTGGTCAAGAAAGCACAAGAAAGAAGGTGAAGAAACAGATCAAAAAGGGCTGATAAAAGAATGTTTTAAAGAGTTTTATAGTACCTTAAGTCGCTCACTGTCCAGACGTCTCTCCTCTGTACGATAAAAGAAAGGAATTTTTATTGTAAGTCAATTAAATCCAAGAACATCTCCAATTTTCAAAAGATTATCACTACGACCAGTACTATTAACTTCACTACAATTTCATTTTATAAGCAATTCCTTCAGCTCTACCTTAACTAACCATCAACGCTACTTTCACTTGCCATCACATCATCTCCACTACCTGAACAACTTCACTGAATCTCAATTATCATCCTTCACCCAACATCACAATAGCTTTAACCATATATTTCCATAACTACAAGCTACCTTCATTCATCACTGATCACCAATACGTAGCTTCACCCATCACCACCTATATACATTTACTGATCACCACCACCTTCACCCATCACCATCAATAGCTTTACCTACCATCACCAATATCTTCACAGTCATCACCACTACCACCAACACCAATACCTTCACCCATCACCACCACTACCACCAACAATACTGTGACCAGTTAAACGGCTCAGGAAAAACTTGCGTTTTGGACTTCCTGACTTTATTACACGATGAAAATCAAATACACGGTAGATTCTTCAACTCCAGCGAAGGAGTTATGCATCAGTAACATAAAACCGACTCTACCGGGAACGACAAAGTAATAATACAGAGTTTCTGTTTCTCCTCACGACACAACAGGACAAAACAACGATCTCTCTTGCCACACTGCTCACGATACAATCACGTCAAAATACAACCACGTTATTTTCAAAACACAATAGCGCACGCTCAACTATAAGATACAACTGAAAAATGTTTGTTAAAGTTCACTTGGCTAAATACCTTTACCCATCATCACCAATACCTTCACCCATCATCACCAATACCTTCACCCATCATCACCAATACCTTCACCCATCATCACCAATACCTTCACCCATC